GGGCAGAACGAGACACGGCCCCCACTTTGCCACCTTTAAATTTACGCCCGTTGCTTTCCTTGCCGATTCCTATGTGAGTCGGTACCTACGATTGCTTTTGGTGCAAGTCATACTCATACCTATTTTGGAATACACGGCCATCAAATCATACCTACTACAAACATGGCCCTTAAGATTGGATTGTAGGACTATAGTGTTAAAAGTTATTCTATTTATTGAAGTGTTCCTTAAGATTGTAGTTACTGTATCGATATTTTGATATTTAATGCTTTCATTAATAAAAAACGTCTATTACTCATTTACATGTTTATTTCAGCTTTATTTTTTAGAAATTAAAAATAAATATGTAAGTAATAGTAGGTTTCATCGTTGATTAATAATAAAATTCTCCCAAAAAAAATATGATCTCCATTCGTTCCTTAAAAAAAATCATATTAATCCTTTTTTAGGAACTAAATTGAATCATCTTGTTATAAAAAAAAAAAAATTGAATCATCTTTATTGAATTTTCGAGGAATTATATTTTCAAAGAACTAGAATTGTAGAGAGACCAAAAATTAATTTTTTTTTTATAAAAGATGAAAGTGGAGGATCATATTTTTTGTTAGAGACCTAAAAAAGACTTTACTATAATAAAATACTAAAATATAAATGGAGTAAATTGTAATGGTCTAAGATAATGTGATAATTTCCCTTTCATAGAAACGTGATCAAGGTTTTTTAGTTGTTTATTTATATTTTTTTGTTTACAAACTATATCTGAAAGTTCAGTAAGTTACACTAGGTACTTCCAAAAATACACAATGTAAGTTGTAAAAAAATTTGTAAAAAAAAATTGTAAAGATCTTTTCCGTGATTGAGTAGTACTACTATAAATGCTACATTTTGGACTAAGAGCTATGATTCCTTAACCAAGTCCTTCTTGCAACCAATTTACCAAATGATTCCGGAACTAAGCCCTTGCATACCAGAAGCTGCAGCTCTCCTACAACAACATAACTTGCATTCTTATATTCTTATGTTCCTAAGTGCTATGTTAGTCCCTTTATTTGTTGAGAAATGATATCTTTTTAGCTAGCTAGGATATTGGAAATTTAAACAAACATGTTCTCAAAACAAACTTTAAGATAAAACTCATAACATGGCTAATAGCACTCCAATTAAGCCTCACCAGTCATCATAAGATTAAGATTAAGACGTACAACAGGAGCATTTCAGGAATAAAATTTGCAAGAACAAGCCTACGGTATAAAATCCAAAGTGTTTCTTAGTCAAAGGAGGAAAGAAGCCAAGCGTGTGATCATATTATTGGCATTCTCAGTTTCAGTATTAATTGTAAATGTGAAAAGCATGATCTTCCTCTTCAACCTCAAACAATTCCGCATGACCTTGCCACTCACTATTCTTCACAGCCTCGTAGTACCAAACTCCTCTGTCTCTAATCTTATCTTTGCCAGCAACACAAACAAGAAGCTTCGAGCACCCCAAGTGTTGCCAACCTGGGAGTTGCGTTAGCCATCGAAGGGTTTGAAGAACAAGAGCAATGGAAGCACACGGGAGGATTGCTACAGAGCATAGCAGAATATGATGAAACAAGGAAAGTACAAATTGGGTGGAAGAACCTGAGTTTCATTCTCATCGTTGTGGAACAGTGATCATTTTGTCACGTTTGGACGAAAAAATTAACAAACTGTCACGTCAACAGTAAATTTTGTCAAAATGTTATGCAACATGATTCGTTACACAATGTAGCGAATTATGCATGCAAGTAATTTGTTACACATGTAACGAAATATGCCACGTCAGAATCAAAAATGTCACATGTCAAATTTTGAGAAATTCGCTACCCTATGTAACGAATTTTTCAAAATTTGACATGTGGTATTTTTGTTTCTGTGCATTCTGACGTGACATATTTCGCTATACTGTGTAGCGAATTACTTGCATGCATAATTCGCTACACTGTGTAACAAATTATACAACGTAGTATTTTAACAAGATTTACTGTTAACGTAGCAGTCTCTGATAATTTTTTTATCCAAACATAATACTTTAGTCACTGTCCGCTCATCAGTAGCATCTTTTTGAAGAACATAAAATCTTAATTTTGGATACAAAATTAATTTTATAAACGGTTAAAAAAATTATAGGTTGTAGGTATATTAAGAGGAGCTTACTTACCTAAAATATTAATTATGATTGGTATATAAAAACAAAGGAAAGTACAAACTTTACCTCGAAAAACTCTCCTCTCTATTATAGATCCAAGAAAATAAATTGTACTGTACTGGATCCAATGAACTATTGGCCAGGCCTAATTGGCGCTTTGTACGTGTCCAATGTATCTATAGTCAAGTTTTAGCGGGTTTTTTTTTTTTTTTTTTTTTCAGTAGATAGAAAATATGACTAGAACAAACAGAAAAGTATATTTGGATAATGACTAAACGAATGGCAATAATATATATTTTTTAAGGGAAATTGTTTTCTTATATGACATAGGATAAAATTTATTTTTTATAGACACATATAGAGGAGAGAGAAAAGAGAATATAAGAGAGAAAAAAAAATAAATAAATCCTATCTCTTTATATGTAAGTGTAGGAAATTTTTTTTACCTTATATTACATAAGGAAAACAATTTTCATTTTTTAAATAAGAAAAGTATATTAACTAAACAATAGAAATGGAATCCTCCGGGAGCAGTGAATATTTGGTGAACTCGGTTCACAATCACATAAGTCCTTGTAGAAAAAAGAAGAAGAAAAAGGAGAGAGGAGAGAGAGAAAAAAGAGAGAAAGACCACCAAATTAATTTTTCTCCAAGAAGCAGGGTCGGAACAACTGTTCCAACGAGGAAATGGCTGAGAAATTATATTTATATAACCAGAATGAGCCACGCTATTTGAATTTTTTTTTACTTAGTGTATTTATTTTTATTTTTATCCAAACCGGTCAAATTTGATTTGAGCACCTTTAATATTATATTTTTGTTATCATAATTTAAACTTGACATTTCTGATTAAGGAAAATAATTTCTTTTAACATGAATAGATGATTATTAATCTTTAATGTAATGATTAAAAACAATCCATACCATATAGTATTATTCTATTTTGAATTTCAAATAAATTTATTCTCAAAATAAAGTTTACTTTTAAAGTTACTGCTAATTCATAAAAACAACTATAAAATTTATATCAAACTCTTATTATGAAATAAACTATTGAAATTTGGAAACTATTATTGCTTTAATTATAAGTTGCTTAGTATTAAAATCTTAATCTGAAATAGTCAGGATAATTATTAAATAGAATGTATTACGTATACCCTTCTTTTTTTATCGACAGAAAATAAGATACCTTTCTTGATAAGAGATGTCATCATGACGTGTCAAACTGTCAATAATAGCTTCTCATTGTCGGAGAAAAAATTAATTTATTATTTTTTTAATAAAAAATTATGAATAAGTAGATGTTTGGAAATTAATTACGAAAATATAGCAGTCAAACATGTCCCATAAGGGCGTGACCGAGGAGAGAGACACGTCCCATCTGGGCGTGTTTCACCAGGTGCTGCCACGTGGCACAAAAATCAACAGTTTGACCGTAAAACTTTGGAAGTCCATAACTTTTGACTTGGGTATCCGAATTAGGTAATTTTTTTTTATTTCACATAACTTTTCGAGATCTACGTAATGACACCTCATTTGGCATATTTTGTCTCTCACAAAAAAAATTGAATTTACAATAATGATATCATAAGAACGTTTAAACTCAAATTAATAAGCAGAAAACTACTGTTATGATTAGAAACATTCATAATAAAGATCGTTATGATTATGGTAAGTTATGATAAGGTTAATTATGTATGTTATTGAGATATATATTAAAAATTTGAATGAAGAATTTTATGAAATTTATAATTTTATTCGGTTAACATCTGTCGGTGACAGAATATCGAATAATTTATATTAAAAAGTCAAGTGAGTGCTTTTCGTTTTATTTTGATTTTTAAGTTTTTGTTCATGATTATAAAAATGTTAGATTATTTTTAGTAATAATTATAAGGTAACAAAGTCATGTCATTTTTAATAATTATGGTATCATTGTTGTAAATTCAATTCCTTTTGTGAGATAAAATATGTCAAATGAGGTGTCCTTACGTAGATCTCAAAAAGTTATGTGGAATCAAAAAAAAATTACCTAATTCGGATACCCGAGTCAAAAATTATGGACTTCCAAAGTTTTACGGTCAAATTATTGACTTTTGGGACACGTGGCAGCACTTGGTGAAACACACCTAGATGAGACGTGTCTCTCTCCTCGGTCATGCCCGGATGAGATGTGTCTCTCTTCAACTTGGTCACGCTTCATGTGGGCGTGACTCACGCTTAGATCACGCCCCACATGGGCGTGTTTCCCTTTATTGGAACACGTCCCATGTGGGCGTGTTTGACTGCTATATTTTCTTAATTAATTTCAAAATGACTATATTTTCATAATTTTTTATTAAAAAAACAATAAATTAATTTTTTTTTTCCCCTCATTGTATAATAAGCAGAACATTGTAGCGGCACAAACGTGGCTAGTTAACGTGGTTTCTGGCTTACTATATAATAAGCTAATTTCATCATGAGATAATATAAACAAAACAGCACCTCATATCCGTTTGACTCGCATAATAAATCAATTAATCACAAAAAAATGCTTAATGCACAAAAGAAAGTGACAATACAGAAAAGAAAATGTATACAACACAAAACATTACATTATACTTTATTTGATTGTTCAATATTGAAAAAGAAAAAAACAACTCATAGCAAATTTCTAATTTTTTTTATCGATCACTCAGTTAAAAAACTTGATAACGTATGTTATCAAAAAAAAAAAAAAAAAAAAAACTTGATAACGTACAGATGTAAAATACAAGTGTACGGAGGAAAAACCATTTGTGTTCACTTCAAATCAACTTCAACAGAATGCTTAATGGAAATTCTTTTTTTTACTGGAGGAGAAAATCAGCAACGCGTTTCAGCATTTTCTTAGTATTTGCCGATTCTGGATTGTGAATATGAAAAGCATGTCCCTCGCCTTCGACTTCAAACAGCTCCAGTTGACCTTTCCAACCACTCTTCTTCACAGCCTCAGAGTACCAAACCCCTCTATCCCTAATCGGATCCCATTCAGCAACACAAACAAGAATCTTAGAACACCCAAGCCCAGCCAAGCTAGGTGCCCCATGAGCCAATGGATTGATCATAGGGTTGTCAATGCCACCAGGCGCAGATGGATAAACCAAACCCCATACCAAAAGGGGCACGCTCTGTTCATGCCCTTCAACAGGTTCAGATCCGATTGGCTTTGAGCTGAAGAAATAAGAATGAGAAAGAAAAGCACCTAAGACTTTGACAGAACGAGGTAAAACCTCAACCCCAGCACGCATGGCAATATTATGGACAATATTACCACCAGCACTGTCACCACCAATGAAAACTCTGTCAAAATCACCATGTTTGATAAGCCATGGCTCAGAATTGGTGGCTACCCATTTAAGAGCATCCCAGCAATCATCATAAGCTGCAGGAAGAGGAACCTCTGGGGCGAGCCTGTACTCAACAGAAATGACCAGAACATGTGCGTTGGAGACAAACAAGTTGAAATAGTTATGGTGGAGTTGGTTGAAGGCAGATTCAAAGAAAAATCCACCGCCATGAAAGTAGACCAAGATGGGGACTTTATGGTTCTGGGAAAGGATCGATTTTGGAAGGTATAGACGAGCGGAGATAGGAGGGTTGATAGAGATGACAACGTCTTTGGATGATACTCCTGTGGTTGGATCTTCAAGCGTGGGTGGCACAATTGGAGAGTTTTGGAGGCGCTCAATGGTGCCATCATTGTAAACTCGGACAAGGTTCGGAATATCCATGGTTATCTCTTTGTTGTTCGCAGCAGCCATTGCAAAGAAAAAAGGTGAAGGCCGAAAACAAAGCTTTGGAGGTCGATGAGTATGGGGAGAAATTTATTCAGTGCAGTGGTTGTAAACACGGCTCATATAGAAGTTAATCCAGTTAGTAAGTAGATTTTTTATTTTTTTATTTATTCGTATTTTATTTTCTTAGAGTAAGAGACTAAGGGTGCGTTTGTATTGACTTTTCAAAAAAGTCTTTTTTATCACTTTCTTATTTTAAAAGTATTTTTTATAAAAGTTATAGCTATTTAGATTTTTTAAAAAATATTTGATTTTTGAAAAAAATATTTGACTTTTGACTTCTGCTTTTTTTAAAAGCTAAAATTTTTAGCTTATGAAAAAAGTAGATTTTTGACTTTTTTATGACTTTTGTTTTTTTTAAAAGCAGGCATCCAAACAGACTTTTTTCGATAAGTGTTTTTTTTTTAAAAAAGTAACTTTTGAAGAAAAAAAAGCTTATCCAAACAGGCTCTAATTCCTTGGAGGCGGCGTGCCGGCGTAGCGCGAAAAAGTTTCACACTTTTGCTGTTTTTTTTAAAGTTAAAATCAAGGGAAAAGTTCACCAATGCTCTTGTGATTTGTTTCAGAATCACTTATGCTCCTGTTGTTTTTTCTATCACATATGCCCCTATGATTTTTTATTTTTTACAAAACACAGGGGCATATGTGATAGAAACCACAGGGGTATAGGTGATGCTGAAGCAAACCACAGAGACATTAATAAAATAAGAGTATTTTTAATTGTTTACCACAAAAAAGGGTATTTTTAATGCTATCTACAAGAGAAAAACAATAGGCTATAAAAAAAAAAAAAAAAAAAAAAAGAGAAAAACAATATAAGTGTCTCATTTTAAATTACAATAGTACTAGTGCTATGCTAAATATGCGCTCCACGGAATTGCGGAAATTTTTTTGCTTGCGGCGGTTGCAAATTAACCAGACTCCACCGAATCACATTGTCCATATTTGATAGCATATTACCGAGAAAAATATGGTAGGACATTGGGGCTTCGCCCCTTAATGTTATCAAAAAAAAAAAAAAATATGGTAGGACAAACTTATCTCCCCGATTCCCGTCAACGAGTTGGTGGCTTCGAAAACATCACCCACGAGGTTCAGTAGGCGGGATCTCTCTTTCTGAGTCCACGTTGCATGACCCAAAGATTATATAATGCAATTTACCCGTATTATTTTTTTATTAAATCAAGAATTATTTTGATACCACTAGCTAGGTCATCCATACGTGGCTTTTTTTTTATTTTTTCGGTAGACATCCGTGGCTTTTATAATTTATCAGTTATAATAATATTTTTATTTAATAAATAAATATTTAACATATGATTTGATTAATAATTTAAAAAAAAAACATTATCAGAAGAATAGAGTAATAGGTTATAGTTATCTCTTTTTTCTTATCAGATCTTATTATCAAGTTTGTTATTGTTGATTCAAATTTAAATTAATAGTTCTTATTTGATATTATTTATAACTGTTGATTTGATTTTTATCCAATGATTATGAAATTGATGATGAGAGGTGATAAAAAAATATGGTAAATATAACCTCTTCCATCCGAATATTTAATAGAAAAATTTTCGCTGAAAACTTTAGTAATATAAACATATATATTTACAATCTTATGATGTATAAGAGAACACCCATATTTAAAATTACTGTGAAATAATTTATTTATAAAATAATTAGCTATATACTTTACTTTATATATACATTATGATCATTTTTATTTTTTATTTTTTTTTGTTTCCCAAGAGTATTTCCATCCATTTGTATTATATTTTTCCCCTTCAAGTACTGAGCGTGAAATTTTTTACTACTAGCCCTAAGATGCTTTGCATAGAAATCGAAGTAGTGACCTTTAAGCCACAACGTTCCTTGGGTATAAACAACTTACCAACTGTGTCACTGTCAGCCCTTGGGGTTCATGTCATGATCATTTTATATTAACGTAACATAAATTCTGAATTTTGACCGATGATTCCACTTATATTTAATGACTCTTATTTTTTAATATACTCTCAAACACTTTTACGTATTTGTAGGAGATAATCTTATTTCCTACAAAATAAGAAACATTAAACTCATTTTTTAATTATATGAACCATTGGATATGACTTGATCAATGAAAAAATAATGAATGTAAATTTTTTTATTCTCATGTCGATGTACGAATAATAAATCTTACACTTTATCATACATGTTAGATTAGGAGATATTTGAAATTGAATTACTGTTGTAAAGATTTAGATTATCTTTCTGTTTATGTTTCTGTTTACAACAAATTCTTGTTTAAGAAGTTGTTAGAATATTTTTAGGAATTAGTTTTGAAGATAAAGTGTATAAATACTCATTCTCTGTAAATGAATGATATGAATGAATAGAAAAGTATTTCAGAAGTTAAAGTCTTGACATGGTATCAGTTGTGTTCTGATCCAAGGGAATTTTTATCTTCCATTAATTATTCCATCGTTTCTTACCTTTACCCAGACCTATTTTCTTTTTTAAACCCGAACCCAATTATTCCATCGTCTTTTTACTTTCCCCTAACCCAGACCCATTTTTTTTACTCGAACCCAAACCAGTTTCCCTTTCCCATTCCAAATCCCTAATCCATTTCAATGGACACAACGAATTCATCCCCTGAAACCAACCCCACCGCCGCGTCTTCCCCTGTTGCTCCTCCACCCTCCAACATCATTATCCAACAAGATATCTCATCTTTCCCCATCACCGTTGTTCTAGATGACAACAATTACCCTCTTTGGTCCCAGTTGCTAGAAATGCGCATTGGAGCGCGTAATAAGTCCGGATTTCTCACCGGAACGTCCCTGAAACCACCGGTTGGTGACCCTTCGTACGATTCATGGGTTACTGACAACAAGAGAGTCAAGAGCTGGCTCATAGACTCCATGACTCCCTCTTTGATGCAGCATTTCCTGCGCCTCGAAACGGCAGCGGCCATTTGGGATGCCGCACGAAGAACCTTCTTTGATGCTTCCGATGAAACTTGCTTGTTTGAGTTGAATCAACGTTCCTTCACAACGAAACAGCATGGACGCCCACTCTCTGTCTATTACAATGAACTCCTTTCCATATTTCAAGATATAGATCATCGTACCTCCTCTCAGGCTGACACCGTTGCTGGGGTTGTCCACATGCAGTCCTCTATCGTTCGATTACGTGTTCACATCTTTCTCAGCGGTCTTGATGCTGAGTTTGATCAGGTTCGCGGTGAAATCCTCCGCAAAGACCCAAAATTGGATCTTGAGGGGTCTTATGCTTACGTCCGTAGGGAATACCAGCAACGCGTCACTATGAATCGTCCAACTCCTTCCTCTGAGTCCTCAGCCATGGTGGCCAAAGGCGGCCGTCCATCATCTGGTCCTCCAAAGCTTCGCAAAGATTCTTTTCCTACGAAACCACTCTGCTCTCACTGTGGAGATGTTGGTCACCCCAAAGCTCGATGCTATGAGATCATTGGGTATCCTGATTGGTGAGATTTTACTAAAAAGCCTCGCCGGAAAATTCTGCACAAAGCTCCCACACCCTCACTGGATATGACTTCTAATTCCTCTTCTGCCTATGTTGTGTACGAAGGAGTCCTTGGTAACTCTCCTCTCCCTTCTGCCAATGCTGTTTATGAAGGAGTTCCTGGTAAGTCCAATGCGCTCCTTACATTATCTGATTTTGATTCCTGGATAATAGATAGTGGTGCATCTGATCAAATGATTAAAAATCATACATTGCTGACTGATTTTCCCCCTTCCCCTAAGACTGAGATTTCAACTGCTAATGGTGGTTCATCCGCCATAATTGGTCAAGGTTCTATATCCCTTTCTCCTTTGTTACATCTTAAATCTGTGTTTGTTGTTCCCTCACTCGAATTTAATCTCCTCTATGTTAGTCAGATTACGTTTCATCTTAATTGCTCTGTGCATTTTTTCCCTACCTCATGTATTTTCCAGGACAACCAAAGGCAGAAGATCCTTGGTTATGGTGTTAGAAAAGGCAAGCTCTACTTCTTGGATGTCTCTTCCTGTAGCAACGAACTCTCTCCTCGTGCATCTACTACCTCTGCTGTGGACAAAGCAAAAGAAAAAATCTGGTTATGGCATCGCAGACTGGGGCATCTTTCATTCCGATATCTTCATAAGTTGTTTCCCAAGGATAAATGTTAGTGATTTCCATTGTTCAGTCTGTGCATTAGCTAAAAGCCACAGAATTCCTTTTTTTCCAAGTTTTAATAAAAGCACTATTCCATTTCAAGTTATCCACTAAGATGTATGAGGTCCTGCAAAGGTCCCTTCCCTTTCTAAATCCTATTACTATGTAACGTTTATTGATGAATGCTCTCGTATGTGCTGGTTGAGTCTTTTAAAACACAAAGGAGATGTGTTTTCTGCGTTTAAGAATTTTTTTTATATGGTTCAAACGCAGTTCAACAACACAATTCAGGTTCTTCAGGCTGACAATGGAATGGAATGTATGGATGGAGGTTTTAATGATTTTTTATCTTCTCATGGAATCAAACATCAGACTTCGTGCTCCTACACTCCTCAACAGAACGGTTTGGCTGAAAGAATGAATCGTACTCTATTGGAAGTGATTCGAGCATCCCTGTTTGGCATGAATGTACCTTCTTCGTATTGGGGAGAGGCTGTTACCTCTGCTGCCTACATCATCAATAGGACCCCCTCTAGTGTCCTCAACTTCAAAACCCCCTACCAAACACTTCTCTCTCACTTCTCTATCCCTCACCCCTCTAATCTTGAACCTAGGATATTTGGCTGCACCACATATGTCCATATTCCCAAAAACCAGAGATCCAAGTTAGATCCATGTGTCAGAAAATGTATTTTTGTTGGTTACTCAGATGTTCAAAAAGGTTACAGGTGCCTTGATCCCTCCTCTCATAAATTCTATGTCACATTGGAAGTCACTTTCAGAGAAGATGAACCATACTACTTAGG